CTCTCGCCCGCCACCTGTTCGGCACGGCGGTCAACTACGATACTTTTGCTCGGCGGCGAGAGATCAAACGGTGCGGCGCGATCAAAACGAAATCACAACGATTCCTTTACCGACGCCCGCCGCTTACCGACGTCGTCATGACACGGTCGAATTTCCGCGGGAACTTCCGCTTGATCTAAGCGGCGCGGTCGGTGAGAACGCGCGTCGAGGGAACGCGTGATTTTACCGACACCGTGTACATCGAGGTGGCTGTCGGCCGGGGGCGACGACTAAGTATCGATTTACGGTCATTATCGCGGAACAATGGTCGTTAGCGAATTACTTAGGCTGTCTCCCTGCTGTCACCCTCCCCTTTCTCCCCTTTCTTCTCATCCTTCGCCACTTCGCGGCCGGTCCGCGCGTCTTTTCCCGCTTCGTCCGACGTCGTCAGAGACGCGCATCGCTCCGCAATTCCGGCCTCTCGCCACGGTATTCCCGCGTGTACCATCGGGTGTACAATGTACGGGTGCCTCATTACTACGCGGGTGGCAGAAGAGAGGGTGCCCGTTGGCTGTGCATGATCGCTCGCGTGCGCGACTCGGCACGAGAGGATTCCTCCTCCTTCCACCCGCCACTTCGCGCTCCCGCTACCTCCCCCTGGACCCCTTGAGGTTTTCAAGTATTCGTAAACGCGCGTCGAGATTCCACAGAGAGAGAGAGAGGGGGGGGGCCGACGAGAGCGTATACTTAACACGCTACTTTGTTGGTCGCGATTCGCCGCTGGCACGTTCGAGGAAGAGTTGCGCCCGCGAGAGGGTGGCGGGGGGACCGCTGAGAGCAGAGAAAATTCCTCGCGCGGAGAATTAGGGCCCTGCGTGTGCGGCTGCGGTACGCGCGATCGCGTGCGCGGAAACAGTAGCCGAAGTCCCCTCGTGACCTCACGTGACTCCACGCGGATACAAAGTGGCTTCACGGTGGCGAATTGTAATTGCCCTCCCCCCCCCCCNCCCCTCTTCATTCCGCGATTTTCTTAAAGGTCGCGCATGTCGCTGCACGCGACCGCTTGGCACCCGATTGACATTTATTAGCGCGATTGAAAATCGGAAAGAAGCTTCGATCCTTCTCTGGAAGGATCTTGACTAGGGTTGCTGTTCCTTCGGTTCTCGCCTCGGGTTTTCGGACGGAGGAAATTCTCCGGGACGGCACGGTGAAACGCCGCAATCGATAATTTATGAACTCGTGAAGCACATTGTTGAAAAATGCCACGAGTAAGGCTTTTAAAGTAAATGAGCGGCTGTAGAAATTTGGATTTTGTTAGCGGAGACCTTAGAAGGATCACGGATACATTTGGATGAAATGTTTCTGCCTAGCACATAAACTTGAATGTTTCACCTTCAACAGGGCTTTAGAGCCGGAAAACAAAATGTCGGAGTCTTGGTGATTTTCCTTTATACCACTCTTTGTGACGCTGCCTCGAGGCCAAACTTGACTCGAATCGCCAGCGAAAAAAAAACGCTGGAAATCGTGACGCACTCTGGCACGCTCGTGCTGTGCGCAACGCGGCCGGTATATTTATATAAAACTAGAAAAGTGACTCGGCGACTTTTTTTCTTTCTTTCGCCGGCGAGGCCCGCGGTCCTCGCGTTGCGTCTAACGTGATGCACACCCGCGCGGAGTCACGAGACGTCGGGCGATTACGTTTGACGAGAATAGAGAATTACCGGACAACGACGAGACCTCCCGGGCTCGTTGCTGCATGGATAAGTGGCGAGCGGTAAAAAGGCGCGAAACTTGTTGCATTCTCGGGAGATAATGCCGACGAGCGTCGGGAAATTGATATTTGCACAGTAAAAAATCGTTTGTTCGTAGGTTCCCGACGGAATCCTCGTTCGCCTCGATGGAGCGGCGCGGGATTGAAGAAATCGCTAAGCGATCTCAACGGTTTAACTCGACGGAATTGAGAAAGCGAGCTGACGCTTGATGTTGTCCTGAAAAAAGTATATATCGAAATCGCTTAATTACAGACTTACCGAGAATCTCGTAAGAAATGAGGAAGAAATTAAAAATTATAAATATGACGAAGAAAGCTCAGGGAATAATTCCGCTAATGCAATCTCTCCGGCTTGTGAGACCCGTTCGCTTACGATATGATTTGGAAGTCGTGATACGAACGAAAAGAAGTGTAACGGGAAAGGTTCCATGTACGAGCGTGTTCCTTGCATTTAGAATGTTCGAAGACGAAGCGTGCACGGGGTAATCATATTTGGCGTGAAAAGTGCGGCGGGAATGTGCGAACCGTTTATCTTCGCGCGTTCTTCGGAATCCCCGTTTACGCTCCGCCGAGATTTCTACGGGGCTCCGCTCGGATATTCATACGTGGATACTTTAATATCAAGTTACATTGAATGTTAAACACTTAAGTAGATATGATTTTCCTGCCGCCTAATGCCGCCAGATTCCTGTGCGCGCCGTAACTTATTATCAATCAGCTCGTAAATCCGCAAAACACAGTACTGTTCGCCGATAGTGGCACTTTCCGTCAATCATCGTGTATCGTGCATATCGGCGTATCGATTATCGTTTACTATGTTGCAGCATCACTTCCCACGTCATTAATTCACCTTCTGCCTCGATATTAACTAGATGCGTGTTTAACTTTTTTCCCCCGTACGTCATGGCACGGCACGTTACGTGCCGCATGATGAGCACGCTCCGCTCGGTAACAGAAATTAGAAATGCCTGCTAGTACGTCCCTAATATGTGTATTCGAGTTTGTCCCCCCGCGGCTACGCGTACGTGTGCTTCATACATGGTGTCCTGGATTTATCGCGCTTGTACTTATCGTAGATTTTCTATAATAAAGCAAGTCGATTCGGAGCCGATTTGTTCCTCAGACGATCGCAATTTTATGTTATTTAATATACCGATGTCACTACAACAGCTGTCGCATACTTATAGATTAGGCCACTCTGAACGAGAAAATACTTTACTATTTTGCAAATAACACGCAAATTTTTGAGTTATTAATTAATAAAGTCTTTATACATGATTATTTTCAATAATTAATAACTCAAGTTTTGCTTTTTTCCGCAAAATCAATACGCATGATGATTATAGTTGATCCTTAATTAGGGATTTTAGATAATTAAGGATTCGTTCATCTTGAATATGTTTTAAAGAAAAATTAACTTTACGTCAAATTTGCCAGGCAGAGCAATTTATTAGTCGAAGGAAAAGGAATCTTCCGTGCCTTACAAAAATTTTTTTTCCCTTTAAATGCAGTCGTTAATCCTCTTAACACATAGATTAAATCTAATTAACGGTACCATGACAGCTTCGAGACACCCTGTATCTACTGATCCGTGTGCGCACGAAGATTTACTTGCATGTAGATCTGGATAAAGCGAGCTCTCACGAATGGCAATTTTATCGGACACGTCAACATTTAAGACGATATGCTTCGGAGCTGTCGGGATTTGAAAATCGTCTCATTGTGGAAAGAAGCGGAAAGGAGCGTATTTATGCACGTGATATCTTGGGAACAAACCGCGAGTGTTCTTGTAGCTCATTGCATGATACACCGTTGACATTATATATATTTTTGAAATTTGAGAAAATTGATCCGTTTATCCTTATCAAATATAAAAATATAAAATATGACAAGATAGTTCGTCCGAATGAGAGATTGGTTGGCTCGAATCTTGATCTTGAGTTCATTCCGCGGCTGTCGCATGCGGTTGTCATCGCAGTTTTGACAGTATACGTGTATAAAAGCATAACATATCGAATAGAATCTGTTTTTAAGAAAAAGAATAAACGAGAAGGTAGAAAAAGGAAGAGGAAGAAGAAGCGAAAAAGACTTATGTATTTTAAATATTAAATTTATTAAATTTGTTTGTGAGCGAATGCACTCGATTGCTCGCGTGCAACGCTCCCGCTGGATCTGCCCAGCGCAGGGCACGGAATGCAATGGAAGGATCGGTGGCAAGGGAAATTCTTTGAACTCGAGTTTCGGTCGTGCAGTGGTTTATTCGGCTGTTGAGACAGAATGGCGATCTGGCCCTTACAATGCGGGACGTGATGATGTTCTTCCTCTTCTTGTTCGCCACGCGCAACCGCTGTTACAGGACGCAACGCGATTCAATTCGACGATCACAACGTTCAAAAATTACAAATATGATTAAACGAAAGACCGGAAATTACTCGCGAGATCGTCGCGAGGACGCTAATGAGATCTCGCAACGAGATGAATCGAGAAAGAGCTTGAATTCTCGCATGGACGGTCGAACCCGTAGCGAGCCGAGATACGCGAACTATGATAACCGAACAACTTTTTCTAATTTGATCTGAAAGTCTCTCTCTCTGTGTTTGCTCAACGTTCTTCTCAACGGTCTCCTCTTGTGCTCTCAAGGCATCCAGTTTTACACCAGTATAATTTTTTTTTTTTTTTCAAGTGGAACGAATAAATTGGTTGACCTTCGATCGGTCGGAGCCTTTTCGATCATGTTCAAATGATGGTTTTTTGATATTGACAATTATGTTCTTATCACCGGACACGTGATTAAACACGCGTGTTTCAGATTTACTTGTTTGTTGTTGTCAGTTCGCAATCCGCGTGTTATTGTTTCGAGATCGCGGCTCGTTTCCCGCATCATGCTCGGCTCACGTGTGATGAGCATAATAACATTAACGTTTCCCGTTGAAATTCAATTGGAATTTTGAACAAAATTTATTATTTATTTCATTGTTTCTCCATCTCATTTCCTCTCCGATCGGACTTGAAGTAGCGATTTTGACGAAAAAGCGGTGGCCCGCCCGCGTCATTGTCCTCCTTTATTGTTTCCGTAATCGGCAGAGAACAGGTTGCAAGGAAGAGAGAGAGAGAGGGAGGGGGGGGGGAGAAGAGAGAAAAAATAAAAAAGGACGGAGGAAGAAGGAGAAACAAAGAAGAAATATATAGAGATATGCATAATATAATATCATAATCAATTTATTGCAAAAATACAAGGTATAAGCTATCCTATAAATAAATACAAACGTGAATATACTTAAAAAGATTTTATAAACGATAACGAAGTGAAAAACTTTAATTTGATTAAAATTAAATTTTAACTCCAAATTTGAACCTTAATTATTTGTGTTAATTTTTTGTATGGTAAGATATATTGTATTGTCGAATGGCGTTGTAATAGGAGATTTTGGTTCAAGTACCATCGGTATGATAGTCTTCTCACAGGGTGTCACCTTGTATCGATATAATGCCTTGAGGAGTCCCAGTTTCACTTGTAGAATTCCCAAACGCATCCCTGTGAAATGCATAATAGTGTTATGAAATTTCTCATAATGTTCCAACAAATAATGATAAACAGATATAATTCAAGTTATGAAACTGAAGATTCTATGGTTGTTAATTTTACTCGCACTCATAATAAGTTCCATTACATAGATATATTCTAATTATATTACGTCCAGTACATCCAGTCATTATAATTAATTGATACGTAATTTATGTGTAGTGCAATTTTGTATTCTCTACGTTTTGTCAGACAACTCTAGAAAACTTAAAAAATATAAAGTACAGAATCTCGTGTATTTGCAAAATTTTTCATTAATATAAAAATAAAAGATAATGTTCTTACCTATACACATACGAGGACCTTCTCCAAATGGCATGTATGTGAAAGGTTGTATGTTGCGTTTATTCTCCTCGCTGAATCGTTCCGGATCAAATTTCTCGGGATTGGGAAAGTATTCCGGATCATAATGCAAGCCTTTTATCGATATGAAAACGGGCATACCCTTTTCGAGAACCAAATTAGAATTTGGTATTTTATAAGGCTCCACTGTCTCGCGGTCTATAACTCCCAATATTGGGTACTTCCTCAAAGTTTCAGAGACCACCATGTCAAGATACGACATCGATTGAATCTGACAATTATTAAATGTCGTTCTTACATGCACTTGTATAATTAAATTAAATTTTGATACATGCTAAAGGAATGATTTATGGAAGTTAAAGAGATTGGTGATATTGTTATTAAAAGTGCGACATTCAAATGTAATATTATAAAAAATGAAGATGACATGCAATTTTACATTCGTTTTTGAAATTTACTTCACATCAAACAAACGTAGAGTACAATAATCGTTTATACCATTTCATACGTGATTTGTCCATCGGTCTTATCGAGCGTGTCGAGAATTTCTTTCCTAAGCCTATCTTGAATTTCCTGTTGTAACGCGAGTTCATACATTGTGAAAGACATCGCTGATGAACTGGTTTCAAAACCGCCGGCAAAGAAAATAGCCGCTTGTGCCACAATATCGTCCCCTTCCAAGTCTAAAATGTACGCATAAATGATTTTCATAGTTTTGAAGTCTTGAGTCTCCATCACTTCATAAAGTTTTAGATTTGCAGGTTATATTTCAAGTTTAAATAAACATTGGTTACTCTAATTTTATTGTCGTTAGTCCTAGTCTTACGTTAACTTTTAACCCTGTCATCTATATAAAAAAATTCTCTAGATTCTATAACATTTACATTATATTAACATTTACACATTTATATTTACGTTACATTTGCACATTAACATCTTTTATTTATTTTGTAATATTTCTTAGATTACTGATATAATGTCTTCTTTCCTCTATTTATTTTTAAGATAAATTGTATAAAACTTATATTTCGACAGGAATCCACTTAAATTTATTGCAATCAATTTTCTCAAAGAATGAAGCATGTAAGAATTAAGCGTAATTAAATTGTTTTAAATTAAAACCGTTGTTTTAAATTAAAAACATTTTTTTTCGTGATATTGAAAAGCTCTTATCATTAATCATATTTTGCTTACCAAAATCTTTCATATTATCGGCGAAATATCTCTTATAGTCGATAATAGAATCGATGAGATCTCCTCTCTTCTGACCGGATTTTATACGATAATTCATCGTATCCCAGAACATATCGCGTAAAATGGAAGCGCCTTTCTCACTGAAGAAATTTGTGCTGAACAAACGAGAAAGATTTGGGTAGAAAAATATTTGGAACATCTCGAACCCGCGGTAGATATCGTAGTCGAACATTGCCTTTCCATTCTTACGGAGCACACACTCTGGATTTTGCACCGAATTAACATTCAGCCCAAAAGCAGTACTACAGATCATATCCGTAGTTACATTGCCGAGTAACTCCCTCACATCTATTATTTTTCCTTTACCTGCCAGCAAATATTCCAAATTAATTTGGTTGAGCAATGGAATTTATTCTATTCCAAGTGATACGTTATTATGAGTAAATATATAGAGAAAATTAATTAATTTTTATCGATTTTTATCGTTATTTCTTTATAATTCGTTGAGATTTGACTTTTATGTTTAATTATCTATGTACGTATTTGTTGGACCTACCATCTAACGTCGAGTCGAGATACGTGTCTAGATTGACACTGCACTCCAACAGCAAATTAAACATCATCTTCAGCTTGCCAGACGATAAGATCGGCCTCAATTTGGACCTCAAAATTTTCCAGTTTGGATTTTTTAAGAAAAATAAGGTAGAGCGACTCATACGGTCTTTAGCTGTACTGTTTCGATTGCAGAAATAATTGAAGTTTTTTACTAGTATGTCCTTGGTTACTTCTCGATCGCGGAGCAATATGCAAGGCTTGTCTAATACATAAAAACCCACGTAAGGATGTCCCTTCGCTCTATTATATAAGTCCTTTATGACAATTATGGGAGATTGTCTTTGGAACACATAGTGCATAAAGTTGCCGAAAAACGGCACCGGTTTTATCTCAAAAACACCTCGTTTTTTCCAGTAGTTGAAATTGCGAGTCATGTAGAAATATGTAGCTGCTGCGATTGTTATCGTTAGGAATATTACGCCATCCATAATCCGGTAATTCATAATTGCAATCATTTTGACGTTTGTCTGCTAAAATATTCGATTTTATATTTATTGTATATATTCGATTTTATATTTATTGTATTTATTGTATATGTTGATGTACAAGATGTCAGTACTTTGCTGATATAAAGTATGATTGGAAGAAACTGACAACACCGTAACTTGAGTATGTTAAAATCAGTTCTTTTGTTACGTCACAAAAAATGATATTTTGAAAAGAACGATGCATGAAATTTACATTTTATGTATTCAATCTATCTGTCTCTTATTTAACGGATGTTTTTGAAAGATGTAAATGTAAAATCCAGATTAGTATCGCCTCACATATACATCTTTAACTTCAATTTCTTCCTTGTGCATATCTTTTTTATGCAAATTATTCACTTGAATCCTGTCACAAAATTAACACTTTGAAGCCTTAACACGTTCGTCGCCCAGTGCGATTCGGCTGAGTTTCTCCCGGGGCCCAAATCCGACTGTCGGACTTAACACGTTCACGCCGGGGCGAAAATCTACGTTTCTCCGCGTGGGGCGGGACTGTCTTATCGCGTTACGCTTCGTGGGGCGGGGCAATATCGTTGCGAGTTTGAACACGCTTATTGCGAAATCATAACAGGTCGAGGCTTTTAACGCGCTACATGCGAAATTGGAACAGTTCTGACGTAGTGTTTTTTTGAGCGCACATTTCTTGCATCAAGTGTAAAGGTAGGTAAAATTATCTTTTCTTCTACAGAGGCGGTTAGAATTTTTTTTGAATTTTTGCCCACATAAATGATAGATAAAATGGATCTGGAGGAAAGTGGTTCGTCTGAAGAATCTATTATTATAACCACAAAGAAGATGCGAAGATTTAGAATAGTTTCGAGCTCTTCAGATGAGGCATGCAACGATAACGAATCATTATATAATGAACTGAATGACCATTCCTCGGAGGAAGAAGATTTTAAATCCAATTTAGAAAGTGACGATGGTGATAATGAATGGAAGAAAATAATAGGAAGACAGCTACGAATGAATGAGTATGCTGAGGAAGAGGAAATTTTAATTCACAACTTTGACTGCGACGATCCTGTTTCGTTATATAAATTAATTAATTTTAATTTTTAAATATATAAGATTATTTTTTAAGATTAAATAAATAAAAAATACTCAATTTTTATATGTAATGTTGAGAAAAAATAAAATCAACTTATTTTTTTAACGACGAATTTTCTGAAAACGCGTGACCCACTTGTGGGTCACGCCGCCCCACGGAACAGTCAAGTGTGATCCACCGGTGGGTCACGTCGCCCCACGGAAGTCAAGTGTGACCCACCGGTGGGTCACCCCGGCGTGAACGTGTTAAATAAGAAGAGCGTCACCCATATTTGGGTGACGGGGCCCCCACGGAAGCATACCCGTCACCCAGATCTGGGTGACGCGGCGACGAACGTGTTAAAGATGATTTATTAATGGAATTCTGGACAATTTTGATGTCTATTAAAAAATTTGGAACGACCTTTGGAACGACCGAAACCCGAGAATAAGTCGACAGCAGAAACATATGGAATTAAATAGCCATGCCCGAGTTATATATATATATTTATATATACTCGGGCTTCGACAATTGTCGTCTACGCACTACCTCCACCTATACTCGGGCTTAGGCCAAAAAGTGTTAAAAATGTGTATCGGATATATTTAATCATGGTCGATTTTTCACTCGAAGCGAGGCCCCCTACTAAAAATTGTATTTTCTACAGTAATTGATAGAGCGCAAAATTTCAGCATTTCATTTCACTTTCAAAGAATGCATAGGTAGCGCATAATTATATATCTCTACAATTCATTTTGCATTGGAAAGCTAACTAGGCAGACGTTTAATATTTAGTATCTAAATGTTTGCCTTCGAATTTCTCGATTTCAATGTATTTTAATACATATTATTCAGATTACTTACGCAATTTTTATCGACAGTAGCTCCGTTGTACACCACAATTTTGTTACTTTAAATGTTATTATGCATGTTCTATGCTTTAGCTATCAATGACAACGGAAAAATTACATTAATATAATATAAACCGACTGCTATGTGATCGCACTGTACTTATAACGACAAAAATTGTCCCCACTTATAACTTATTCTCGAAATGATAACTTATCTTCGTTGATTGCTAAAATTTATTCAGAAATTAAGAGTGGAGTATAGATATTTCGATGATATCTCAATAAAAGTTCAAGTATATGGTTCCGGTATAACCTGTCGTACATATTATGTATGTTCTATGTTTTAGCTATCTATGATAACGGAGAAATTGTATTAATATATATAAACCGACTCCCCTGTGATCGCGCTGTGCATCACTTATAACGGAAAAAACAGCTTACCTCATTTATAATTTATTGCGAAATGATAACTTATCTTTGTCGATTGCTACATTTTTTCAGGAAATAAGAGCAAAATGTAGATATTCGGACGATATCTCAATAACAGTTTTAAGTATGCAATTCCTGTGTAGCCTGTCGGATGATAAGGATGATATATCGTTTGCGATTAATGAGTTATTATTGTGTTTATTGCATTGATGACTTATTTTGTCATATAATGTTCTTCCGGAACGCTACAAAAATAAAATTCGAGCTATTTCTCGAATTACATTATTCAGTAGTTTAATAGTTGCTGCTCCAGGATCACATAGCAACAATTATTTCTCTGTTATTCTAATAATAGAAGCAAAATTCTTCTCTGAAAAGCAAACTCCACTCTACCGCTCATCTGCGCGGACTGCATTATATATACTTGTATCTCATTCTTCCATACAGCGACAGCGTATTGCGTAGTTTTATGATAAAAGATATGTAAAGCAATTATCGCGACAACTATAAAAATAAACAAATTCGTCTTTATCTTGTGATAAGAGGGCTAATGATTATAAATACAAAGATTGTATCAAGCACATGTCGTGCAAAGTTTATGCTTTAATTACTCGGAAACTATTAATAATGTATTATTGAGATATCTGCGTAAATGCTGTTTTATATACGAGGGCAGTCCGATAAGTACTTAGCCTACAAAAGAAAAACGAAAATTTTGGAAAAGTGGCGATTTATTTCTCAACATAGTCTCCTTTTAGCTCGATACACTTGCCCCAGCGATGCTCCAACTTCTTTAAGCCATCTGAAAAATACGTTTTCTCGAAGTCTGCAAAGTAGGCCTCCGTGGCGGCGATGACTTCCTCATTCGGCCAAATTGGTCGAATTAGACTACTAACTGCTGCCTCATCCACCGTATTCTCCAGATTTGGCCCCGTGCGACTTTTTTTGTTTCCAAACTTGAAAAAGTCACTCGCCGGGCTGAAACTTGAGTCGAATGAGGAGGTCATCGCCGCCACGGAGGCCTTTGCAGACTTCGAGAAAATGTATTTTTCAGATGGGTTAAAGAAGTTGGAGCATCGCTGGGTCAAGTGTATCAAGCTAAAAGGAGAC